GGCCTCTCCGCCTGCCTCGGCCTCCTAAAGTACTGGGGTGACAGGTGTGAACCACCGCACCGGCCGCACGTGCGCTCTTGTGAGCACTTCTCTGGGGAGCATCCCGGAACCAAACTGCTGGTTGTCAGGCAAGTGTGTGTTCCGCTTCTCTAGCAAGCGCCAAATTCTTTTCTGAATGATGACTCCAGCTGGCACCATGACCATTTTGTCTTAATTTTATCTTATTTTATTTATTTACTTTGAGACAGACTCTTCCTCTGTTGCCCAGGCTGGAGTGCAGTGATGTCATCTCGGCTCACTGCAACCTCCGCCCCCTGGTTCAAGCAATTCTCCTGACTCAGCCTCCCAAATAGGTGGGATCACAGCCGTTGGCCGCCAGGCTTTTGCATTCTAATAGAGATGAGGTTTCACCGTGTTGCTCCTAGGCTGGTCTCAAACTCCTGAGCATCCGCCCGTCTCGGCCTCCCAAAGTGCTAGGATTACAGGCATAAGCCACCGTGCCCAGCCTAATTTTTGCATTTTTAGTAGAGACACGGTTTTGCCATGTTGGCCAGGCTGATCTCGAACTCCTGACCTCAAGTGATCCACCTGCCTTGGCCTCTCAAAGTGCTGAGATATAGGCGTGAGCCACCAAACCCAGCCCCTTGTATCCTTTTATTCGCGACCGGGCCCTCACTATGTTGCCCAGGCTGGTCTTAAATTCCTGGCCTCAAGCAGTCCTCCTGCCTCAGCCTCCTGAGTAGCTGGGGACTAAAGGTGTGTGCCACCTGCCTGGCTTTGGCCCCCTTTGATTTTGAAACTGGCTCAATTGTCCTGTGGAACCGATGTTTATGGTTTCTTTGAATAAACACAGAGATTGATCCTCCTAATCTTAAAATTTGAGAAAGTGACGTTTGTCCTATTTGAGTTCCTTTCTCAGAAAACCAACCATGAGGGCTCCCAGATAGAATGAAAGAGCTAAAACCCAACAGATCACGGTATCTTGGCAATGAGACGCCAGATATCCCACCGTCAAGATTGCCTGACCAACCACCAGCTTCCTGTTGACCAACTCCTCTTCTTTAGCTGCCCCAATTCCTGTTTTCTCACACCTAGTTACATGGCTTCCCTGCTCTGTAAACCCCTAATTGTAGTCGGCCAGGGAGATGGATTTGAGACTGAGCGCCCATCTCCTTGGCTGTAGCCGGCTTAAAGCCTTTCTCCCCGGTGGTGCTCCTGGTCTCAGTGATTGGTTTCTGTGCATAGAACAGCAGGGCCTGGATTGAACCCGTGGCGTTTTGCTAACAGTCTCACCATCCCCTGCCACCCCCTGCCTCTTCCCTGTAAGTAGGTAACAGGTCTTTGATTTGTTTGTTTTAGCAACAGGGTCTGGCTGCGTTGCCCAGGCTGGACTGCAGTGGTGCAATCGTAGCTCATTGTAACCTCAAACTCTTGGCCTCAAGTGATCCTCCTGCCTCAGCCTTTCCAGTAGCTGGGACCACAGGTCCACACCATGGCTGGTCACCCCTCCTTTGGCTGGCTTTCTTTCTTTCTTTCTTTCTTTCTTTATTTTTTTTTTTTTTTTGAGACGGAGTCTCGCTCTGTCGCCCAGGCTGGAGTGCAGTGGCCGGATCTCAGCTCACTGCAAGCTCCGCCTCCCGGGTTTACGCCATTCTCCCGCCTCAGCCTTCCGAGTAGCTGGGACTACAGGCGCCCGCCACCTCGCCCGGCTAGTTTTTTTTTGTTTTTTTTTTAATAGAGACGGGGTTTCACTGGGTTAGCCAGGATGGTCTCAATCTCCTGACCTCTTGATCCGCCCGTCTCAGCCTCCCAAAGTGCTGGGATTACAGGCTTGAGCATACCGCACCACTGGCCTTTTTTTTTTTTTTTTTTTTTTTGAGACAAGGTCTTGCTGTGTCACCCAGGCTAGAGCACCATGGCTCAATCTGGCTCACTGCAACCTCTACCTCCCAGGCTCAAAAGGGTTCTTGTGCCTCAGCCTCCCGAGTAGCTGGGACTACAGGTGTGTGCCACCACACCCAGCTCATTTTTGTAGTTTTAGTGGAATGGGGGTTTCCCCCGAGTAGCTGGGACTACAGGTGTGTGCCACCACACCCAGCTCATTTTTGTAGTTTTAGTGGAGATGGGGTTTCCCCATGTTGGCCAGGCTGGTCTTAAACTCCTGGCCTCAGGTGATCCACCCTTCTCGGCCTCCCAAAGTGCTGGGATTACAGACGTGAGCCATGGCACCTGGCCTCCTCTATGGTTTTGATATCATGATGGCCTGATCTGTAATCCCAGTACTTTGGAGAGCGGCCTAGGCAACATAGTGAGACCTCGTCTCTACCAAAAACAAGCAAACAAAAAAATTGCTTTAATTTTTTTTAATTAGCTGGAAAAATTAGCATAATATTTGGATTATCCCCTTCCTGCAATTTATGGTAGAACTTGCCTGAAAAAAACACACCTAGACCCAATTTTTCGGTGGTACCTTGTTTGTTTGTTTTTAAGAGATGGGTTAGAGACCAGACTTACTATGTTGCCCAAGCTAGACTCAACCTTCTGAGCTTAAAAAATCCTCCCACCTCCGCCTCGGGAATAGCTGGGACTATAGGCGTACACCACTGTGCTGGCTTCTATGGCACTGTTTCAATTTCTTTGATAGTTATACAGCCAGATGGGTTCTCTATTTCTTCCTGAGCCAATTTAGTATTTTTTTCTTTTCTTTCTTTCTTTTTTGTTTTTTGAGATGTGTTATTATTATCTTTAGAGACAGGGACTCACTCTGTTGCCCAGGCTGGAGTGCCGTGGTGCAATCATGGGTCACTGCAACCTCCATCTCCCGAGCTCAAGTGATCCTCCCACTTCAGCCTCCTGAGTAGGTGGGGCCACAGGTGCACATCGCCACACACAGCCAATTTTTTTATTTTTTGTAGAGTTGGAGGGTCTCCCTGTGTTGCCCAGGCTGGTTCCAAACTCTTGGACTCAGGTGGTCCTCCCGCTTCAGCTTCCCAAAGTGCTGGGATTACAGGCCTGAGCCTGCCCGTGTGGCTGATTTTGTACTTTTCTAGGAAGTTACCCACTCCAAGTGAAGTGGCTTAATCTCATTTAAAATATCCTCTTACAATCAGCTGAACTTCTGCAGCATGTGTGACTATGTCGCTTTTTTATTCCTAATATCATTTATTTGTGCCTTATCTCTTTTTTCTTGATTAATCTAGCCAGATATTTTGTGTGCTTTTTCTTTTTCTTTTCTTTTTTTTTTTTTTTGACAGGGAGTCTCGCTCTGTCGCCCAGGCTGGAGTGCAGTGGCCAGATCTCAGCTCACTGCAAGCTCCGCCTCCCAGGTTGACGCCATTCTCCTGCCTCAGCCTCCCGAGTAGCTGGGACTACAGGCACCCACCACCGTGCCCGGCTAGTTTTTTGTATTTTTTAGTAGAGACGGGGTTTCACCATGTTAGCCAGGATGGTCTTAATCTCCTGACCTGCCCGTCTCGGCCTCCCAAAGTGCTGGGATTACAGGCTTGAGCCACCGTGCCAGCTTGTGTACTTTTTCTCAAGCAAATTTCTATCATGTTTGTTTCCTATTTTACTATTTTTTTCATGAAAGAAGAAACCCTATTTATACCTTTATTTTTTATTTTTTTCGCGTGTGTTTTTTTGAGACAAGTTCTCACCCTGCCACCCAGGCAGGAGTGCAGTGGTGTAATCTTGGCCTCACAGCAACCTCGACCTCCCAGGCTCAAGCCATCCTCCCACCTCCACCTCCTGAGTAATGGACTACAGGCATGCGCCACTACACCAGCTAATTTTTAAATTCGACACATCAGTTGTTTAGACGTGTGTGCTTTAATATCCAAAAGTCTGGACTTTCTCAGATTCTCTCTCTTTTCTTTCTTTTATTTGTTTTGAGATAGGGTCTTGCTCTGTCACTCAGGCTGGAGTGCAGTGGCACAATCATAGCTCATTGTAACCTGGGTTCAAGTGATCCTCCCACCTCAGCAGCCCCAGTAACTGGGAACACAGGCGTGAGCCACCATACCTGGCTAATTTTTGTATTTTTGGTAGAGTCAGGGTTTTGCCGTGTTGCCCAGGCTGACCTCAATCTCCTGGGCTGAAGCAGTCGTCCCACCTCTGCCTCACAAAAGGCTGGTATTACTGGCGGGAGCCACTGCACCTGACCGATAAATGTTTATTTTATTAATATTATTTTTTGAGACGGAGTCTCAGTCTGTAGCCCAGGCTGGAGTGCAGTGGTGCCATCTCGGCTCACTGCAACCTCCGCCTCCCGGGTTCAAGCAATTCTCCTGCCTCAGCCTCCCAAGTAGCTGGGATTACAGGCATCCAACACCATGCCTGGCTAATTTTTGTATTTTTAGTAGAGATGGGGTTTCACCATGTTGGCCAGGCTGGTCTCAAACTCCTGACCTCAGGTGATCCACCCACCTCGGCCTCCCAAAGTGCTGGGACCACAGGCGCAAGCCACTGTGCCCAGCCTCGTCGTCTTCATAGCATTAAGAGATCATGCTTTTTTTTGGCCGGGCGCGGTGGCTCACGCCTGTAATCCCAGCACTTTGGGAGGCCGAGGCGGGCGGATCACGAGGTCAGGAGATCGAGACCATCCTGGCTAACACGGTGAAACCCCGTCTCTACTAAAAATGCAAAAAATTAGCCGGGCGAGGTGGCGGGCGCCTGTAGTCCCGGCTACCCGGGAGGCTGAGGCAGGAGAATGGCGTGAACCCGGGAGGCGGAGCTTGCAGTGAGCCGAGATCGCGCCACTGCACTCCAGCCTGGGCGACTGAGCCAGACTCCGTCTCAAAAAAAAAAAAAAAAAAAAAAAAAAAA